TTGGGTTAACCTTCAATATTAATTTTACACTTATTTTTCATAGGATTGCTTTGTTGACTAATCATTTTAAATTCAAGTACAATATTTCACAAAGAAAAACTTATATTACCAATAGAGATTATAAACATTTCTCTTTTTATGACTTTTTTTTTAAATAATATAATTACCAAAATCCTTTTCTCCTAACTTGGAGGTTCATCACTTATATTGTTTCTCATACTTATAGAACTTTTATTTAGGGTAGGCTTCTAGATGAAAATGTCATATTCACAATATAACTAGCTCAAGGTTTTCAATGTTATAAAGGGCCAAAGTGTTTTTGTGATAATATTGATATCATTGAAGCCTTTGACATCCTAAATAGGGATACTATATTAATATAATGCTTTTTAAAGACATTTATGATAAATGTACTTGATATATTATAAATTATATTTCTGAAGTCTATTTTATTTCTTTATTTATATTAATGGATCTCTTTAAGGATACTTTAACTCTTCCACCTCTCTTCATTAATTATGCTCCTTACCTTGCCTCCCAAAATGATCTATCAATTTTGAAGGATTAGACTTTATTCAAAAATTATTCCTCATATATGAAGCAACAATTACCTCATATGTCTCACTTATTATTTATTAGTTATGTTATTGTATTTTGAAGAGTTACTGATTTTAATCTCCATTATTTGAACTCTAGATTATCTTTTTCTTAATTAAAATTTGATCTCTTCTATAACATTGAAAAAAACTACATTATATTCTCAAATTTATGTTCCAATAAAAATGTTTTTTTTTTAATTCCATATAATTTGTGTGCCTTTAAAATATCTACCCATTACTTATTTAAGCATATATAGTCTCTCATTAGTATTAGATTCTTCAACTTCCAAGCTCTTATTGACAAGAAATAACAGACTCTTTATTTATAAAATTGCTTCTTATCTTTATCAGTTGGCATTAAATAAACCACACAATTTGTTGACTATGATTAACTTTGATATGCCTTAGTATAATAAAATAACCAACAAATAAATATAAATTCAGCAAACAATAAGTTTTTATTGTTAAACAAAGAAATATGCAAAAGCAAGATAAAATGGTTCTCTTTCGAGAGGAGGGTCGTTTCTCCCAAACACTTGATGCCACTAGGATCCCTCACAAAAATAATAGACAAAAAACACTCACAAAATTTTTCATCCAAAATATAATGTAAGCCCTACTACTTATAGCAAATAATAAATAACAAATTCTAAAACAACACTCCTCCAATCAACCCCTAAATCTATCCTCTCCAATTATAAAATATCTCCTCATTAATTTCCTCCAAATAAGCTGGTGTGGAACCAGGAATACCTGCAGAAAACACAAGAAGAACAGAGAATTCGAGCAAGGAAGAGGGGAAATCAGAGAGTTAGCATTCAGAAAGAAAGAAGAAGAAGCATAAGGAGGCGAAGAAAGAACGAAGTAAAGGGTGATACTTTTGGATTTATGTAATTCAATTCTATCTGCTCTACAGTTGTAATATCAGTTTTTGCTCCAGGTTCGTCCGGGACGAAGTTGGATCGTCCGGGACGATCGGTACAGATATTTCCTAATTAATCATCCCCAAAATAAGCCCCCTTCAATTAGAAAAAGTTTGTAGATATTTGATTCTCAAAATTAAATCAATGTTTCCCAACTCAAATAGAGGAAGTCCTTATAGCTCTACCTCCAAACCCTAACATATCCCTTTGCTCTTCTCTACCTTTTATTTTACCATCATCATTCCAAATCCTCCCATGTCTACTTATTTTAGCCCCAATTTATCTACCACATGGTTCGATATTAAATTATGTGCATCCCCACAATCTACCAGAATTTCCATCACCTCTCCTCCTATTCTCCCCTCACTTTCATAGTGTAATTAGGGGTGAATTCCACTACCGATTTCAATGAAACTTCAACCACCTCCAAATGCATGGGCTCCTCTTCCTCTTCTTCCTCCCTCGTTACCTCTGCCTCATCCACCTACTCCTCATCACACATAATGAGAACCTACAAGGTATGATTTTTATGGCTATGCCGCAATGTAAATTTCTCGTCTCATCTGAAAATTAGCCCTTTAGCTCTCTTGTATTACAGTTTAGTTTCAGTTAGCCTCTTGAAATCCCCTCCCCGTCGGACACTCGAGCTACCCTCCGTTTGAGTCTCCCTTTTAATTAGTGTAGTCTGCATCCTATGTGCAAGGAAAGTGGTCATCATGCGGTAAGAACCTTCTCCATTGACCCCTTTACTACTCTTATATAGTGATTTCTTGTTCCCAATCATCCAAGCGAACTCCATTGCCTCTCCCAAATCATGGGGCCTTGCCACCCACACTAATGCCCTCAACTCTTTTTTGAGGCCTTTCATGCAATTGCTTTTCAACATTGTCTCGGATAATTTTCCTACTCATCCTGATAGGAGCTCAAATCTTTCACAATACTCCATCACAGCGTCGACCTGTGTCAATGCAAAGAATTGCTCATAGTAATCCACATCATATTAGGCTCGAAAGCACTCCAACAAACGCTCCTTGAACTCCTCCGACAAATACATTGGGTACCTTATCTCTCTCCCTTGATACCATGATAGTTCCTTCCTTTCAAGACATAGAGCAGTGGCCATTAGTCTCTCATCTTCTATTAACATGTTTGCTGCAATATATATCTCCACCTTATATATCCACTCATACAAGTCTTCCACTTCAAATACAAGCATTTTTAACTTCCTACTCTTCTGATCTCCCCCGCCATGATGTCCCCTTCCATGAAGAGAGTATTGGGGTCTCTCCACGGTTCCCTCTCCTCCCTTATCCGTTCATATTCCCTCATTCCCCCAAATTTAACCTGCTTGTTTTGTTCTTCCCATTCCCTCTTACCTGCACATTCCCTACCCATCCCCCTTCTTGGTAGAGGCTCCATGTGGGGTATTTCCTCCTCTCCTCCTAAAATTTTCCCCTCTCTATCTTTCCTTGGCATATCATCTTCCCAATCACTCTTTGCTTTTGTTGGGGTTGTTTTAGTATGAAGCTCCAACATCTGCTTCATCATATACTCCATATTCCCAAATCTTCTTTTCAATGTTGAAATACGTTCATTCACATGCGCTTGTAATTTCCCTACTTCCCCCTCCAACTTTTCTTCCAACACCTTAACTCTTTTTTCGGCCATTAATACATGGATTAAGGTTTTCATAGTGAAAAATAGAAACTTTTAATAAAATCTAGCCTCCAAATAGTAAAAATCAACTAATTGAAAGAAAAATATCAATAGAAATTAGCAAGAAAACTGAGATTTAAGACTAGGAAAGTGCTCTAATACCAATTTAACACTTCTTGGTATAAAAAAAAATAGCCAACGAACCAATACAAATTCAACAAGCATCAAGTTTTTATTATTAAACAAGGAAATATGCAAAAGTAAGATATAATAGTCCTTTTTTGCGAGAAGGATCGTCTCTTCCAAACCCAGACGCCGTTAGGATCCCTCACAAAAATAGTAGACAACAAACACTTACAAAATTATGCATCCAATATATAACATAAACCAAACTACTTATAAAAAATAATAAACAACAAATTTCAAAATAGCCCTCCCCCAATTCACTCTCAAATCAGCCCCCAAATTTGTCAAAAAATTTGGCTTTTTTTTATTAGGAAATTTCTCCTAATTAAAAATCCCCGAAACTACAATCTGTCATATTTCATTAGAAATATTTTCTTAATTTATCGCCCCCCCCCACCCCCCCCAAACACGAACACATGACACACAACACACCACAAAACCCTAAAGCAGCCAGCCCTAAAATTTGTCCTCTTCAATTATGAAATATTTCTAATTTAATAATCCCCCAAATTAACCCCCCTCCAATTAAAAAAATATCTCTTAATTAAACCCATTTGATTAGGAGCCTTCCTAATCAATTCCCTCTTATTTAGGAAACTTTCTAATTCCCTCCCAATCAAATTGGCTGGTCCATCAAACTTCCAAACACAAGCATTTATTAAACCTAAACTAATTCTGAACAAAATGTGTTCCTTATATAATTTCTCTCTCTTATTTTATAGCCTTCTCAATAAATTTCAAGCTTTCTAATGAAAATGATTTCTTCCCTAAGAAGTTTGAAAATTTGTGTATGATTGACCCTAAGCTTGTCAATATGATTACCCAACTTAGGCTTGTTTTATGTTTTTGATTAAGTGATGGTATTGGATGCAAAGCAAGTATTTATCACACTCAACAAATTACCTCATCAAGGGTTCAAATAATTTGACACCTTGGAAACCTTACATTAAAGTCAAACCTCTTATGAAGGAAAGGAAATGAATGGCTTCTCCTTTATTGTCCAATACTCTTAGGCTTCATATTAAAGCCACACTTTTTGAGATTCATTATTCTAATCCTTTATTATTTGCTTCTCTTTCTCACATTAGTATTCACAATCAACATTATATTATAAGATAATTAATCTCATCATGTGGTTGATCCAATAACTTTTTCATGCTTTTATTTTTCAATTTTTACTACTTCTCTAGTTAATTAATTAATTGAGATTTGCTCCCTAATTTCACCCAAAAAATAATTTAAAAAAAATTTAGAGGGTTTATAATAGAATTCTAAAAAATTTAAGTATATAATATCTAAATATATTTATTTATTAATATAACACTATAATATTTGAATTACATAAAAAATATATCTAATATGAATTTATTTAAAGTGAAATACATTGATACTATAATGTTGTATAAGTATAAGAGTGCTAATAAATGATCTAACATTGACTTGCTTTGAAAAATTGAGGTTTAGGCTAAATTGATTAGATTTTGGGATGGATATCTGAATCTCTTTTTAATATATAAATATGAAGATATGGATATTACACATATAAATAGGTAAAAAAAAATTATGTTCTGCTATAAATCATTAAATCCCTCAATAAATTTATTGAACAAGTAATATATACCATTTCACCTAAGTTGATCGGATCCTTAATTGGAAATCCAAAACCCGATCCACCGTCTTAACCGCTAATCGGTAGAGAAACCTAGACAGAGGTGCGAGATCGAAGGGAGAAATCGAAGGATCGAGTATGGCGGCGGCGGACGAGGAGGAGGTGAAGCTAGGTTCCTCAAAGCCTATGATCGCGACGCAGGCAGAGATGGTGGAGGAGAGGGTTCCGATTCCGTACCGAGACCAGTGCGCGCACCTACTGATCCCGCTCAACAAATGCCGGGTGAAGGAGTTATACCTCCCGTGGAAGTGTGAGGTGGAGCGTCACGCGTACGAGAAGTGCGAGTACGAGCTCGTCATGGAGCGGATGCTACAGATGCAGAAGATCCGTGAACTCGAGGAGCGCCGGAAAAAGGCCGGCCAGACCAAGCCGCAAGGCGCTGGCATCCCCATCATCGCATCCACCGCCAATACATGATTGTACTCTCACCCTGGTACGCCAATTGGTCTCCACCGATTTGATTGTTTGCGCACTTTTGAACGGCTTGACTTCTTCGATTGTTGGTTTGAGAAGGTAGTTGATTAAGCCTACGAAAAATGAGTTTTTTTCTTCTTCTTTTTTGATATCTAGGGTATCTATGATTTTAGCTGGTTTGTGTATTTGTAGTAGTGCATTGATCTTCTTGGTTCATAAAGCAAGTTTAGTGTCAGTGTTGCCGTCATCTTCGTTCTTCATTAACTACAAATATATATATTTTTTCTTCTTCTTTTTTTTTTTTTTTGGTCTATAACCCATTTTTCTGAGTTCATTCATGATACTAGATCCACAGTTTGCGGAATACATAGAATTAAGGAGATGAATTGAAAACGAAGATGAGCGAAAGACTTAGTTTTGTAAATTTAACATGCTTGAATTGTAACAAAACTCTATTTCATATGACCTAATGGATGCCTTGTTATAATTCTTAGGAATTGTTTGGTTCTTTTTTATTTAGATGTTGCTTTTATTACAATGCTAGCATATGGGATTGGATCTAAAAATCATATGCGAAGCATGTGGTGGGACAACCAATAACTCTGAAACCTATCAAAGAAGAAGGCACAAACACATTTCATAAGCATAAATGATAAATGGGCCCACATATGTCATAAAACACTAGTTTATTTCTTTTATTCTATTTTTAGTTTTATTTTTGGTATACCGGTTCTATGTTCAGCCATTGGTTTACCCAAGTAGTATAAATAACTTCCCTATTGTAATGAAAGCCTTATGGAATGAAATAATTCTTGTTTCTCCATTTCTAGTTTCCCTTCCTCCCTTTCTTCTTCCCTAAGGAATCTACACCTACTCGAAAGGTGCCAAAGCCTTTTTGATGTAGATCAAGAAGCATATCACAATGCTATCTATCAAATACTTTGATATTAATTTAGTGTTATTAGAATGAAATGTGAATACTATCTATATTTAAATAAAGTAATAGGATTCTTCCCATGTCGTGAAATCATATATTGACTACTTTGATTGACATCTAATGATGTCAACAAAATAGATCATGATAGTTATTTTTGAAGTGTTTTTTGAAAATGGTTAGCAAATCAAGTTGTTGACGTGTCTAAATAACATAATGTTTTTGTAGATATCACTAAATTTAACAACGCCTTAATAAAGAAGAGATGAATATTACTTGAATCACACTAGATTGCTCTTTTAGGCTTTGAAAAGTGAATAAAAGGAGAGAAAAAGGAATCAAGAAGGAAAGACATGGTCCAAAAACTAATGAGAACTATTGATTCAACTCTTTTACCATGCTTAGTTGCATGAGCTTGTAACCATGTAAGGATATGCAGGTGGTTCAAATAAGTATAGCTAAACTTTGATTTTGCTATTATGTGCATGCCCTGTCTTGCCGATTCCAAGTTGGGTTGTTGATTTGGCTAGCCCAAGCTAAAACATCAATTGAAATTATGCTAGAGCAGAGGGGAATGCATGAGGATGGTTTAGCAAAGCACCTATAACCTCCCACACTTAGTAGTGCAGGGATTGCAGGCTATTGTGCTTGGCATATGGACTGCTCACTGTTCTAGCAGCAATCAAAAAACCATTTTTTTGATAGACACAAAAAATTCTTGTTTTTAGCGATTGTGAACTATTCCAACATAATGCAACTGTGATGGTGTTCGTGTAAACATAGCGGTACCGCAAACAAATTTGGTAATGTGGGGGATAAGTTTGGTGTTGCTAGAAAATATCCTATTTGTGTGAACATGAAATGCTAGTCAACATTCTTTAGTATCTTCTCATCTAAGTCTCTTATATTATTATTTAGATTAATTATTAATATCTCAAAATATAAAAACCCCATGTGAGAAAATTTGACAGAAGCTAAAAAATATCCATATGTAGATAAGCAAAAACTTGTGAGAAAATAAATCTACATTTCCCACCCCAGATCAAATATTGCATTTGTTGTATGCATGGTCAGCCAATTCATGCAAAATCCAAAACAGACTCATATGCAAACTGTAGACAGAATATTGCACTACCTTAAGGGAAAACCAGAGATAGAGATTATCTTTAGAAGAGACCACAAAATAACTCTAGAAGCATATACTGATGTATATTATGCAAGATCACCAATAGATAGACGATGTACCTTTGGATATTGCAGATTCCTTGGAGAACCTAGTTACGTGGAGAAGCAAGAAACAAAACGTGGTGACTATGTCTAGTGTAGAAACAAAATATAGAGCTGTGGCCTTGAAAATATGTGAGCTACTATGGGTCAAGTTGATTCTAGAAAACCTAAGGATCAAGTGGGAAGGGCCCATGAAGCTATATTGTGACAACAAATCAGTAATCAACATATCTCACTATCTAGTTCAACATGACAGGACCAAGCACATGGAAGTGGACAAACATTTTATAAAAGAAAAAATAGACAGTGGTCTTATATGTATCTACCATGCCTCATCAAAAGATCAATTGGAAGACATCCTTACCAAGGGATTGGATAACTTTGCCTTTCTCAGACTGATTACCAAGCTTAGAATGATAGATCTATATTTTCAAGCTTGAGGGGGAGTGTTAAATCCCAACCGATGATTTCCACGGGGATCTGTGGGAGGCTCGCATGAATCATGCCAATCATGAATCACGTTATTTCCTTTCCATAGTTAGGTGGCTGATTTAGGAAGGATTATATTAGGATAAAAATACTTGATTATGTAATTCATTTGTTTCTTTATTTGATATATTGTATAGATCTATAAATAGGGATATATTTGTGCAATAAAGAATAAGTTTTACCCTCTCAAATCTCTGAATTTCACAGTTTTAGTGGAAATGTAAGAGTAATAATTATCGACAATGGAAATGTTAATATTGATTAATTTGATGGAAAATATTTTGGGTATTAAAAGTTTTATAGATCAAGGATTGTCCACAAATGGAACCTTACTCACTCTATAAAGATAAAGATGAGATTCATGAACCAAGAGGTTAGGATCTCTTTAATTGACAAGTATTTGCATGGTCTAAAATTATGCAATTAGAGGATCACCTCAACACAATTTGAAAAAAAAAAGGCAATGAGGTGTACGTCTCACGCTTACCATATGAAGCTTATGCCTCAGTGGGGGTGAATCGCATCTCGAGGCACACAATTTTAGTGCAATTTTGAAAATGATTAAGCCTTAGAAATTAGAGTTTAGGTAAATTTAAAATTTTAGTTTATTTTATATATTGAAATAAACCTATTTAGTATATCTAAATCAAACCAAACTTGAGAATAAATGCATGACCTCAAACTTGTAGTTGCAAGACCTCATACCTGCACCCTATCCTCTTGCATTATTGTCGTTGTTGTGCCCCAACTGTTGTTATACCATCATTGCTTCTCCTCATCACATTTACTCTTGTCGTTGGAAACCTGTTTTCTTATTTTTTATTTGAAAGAGGAGAGAAAGCAATAATGATTCTAATGAATACTCGCTAAATGATGAGAGTTGGAAATAATTTTGAATTTATAAATTATAACCTTAGATTACTTGTTTATGTTGAACTGAGAGTTGGAGAGACTATTTATTTATCCTTGTTTGTAGCCTTGTTTGATTTTTAATGTCCTTACTTTGACCTTTTATAATTTTATTTTAATATGTTACTTTGATGTTAATATGTTACTTTTTCATATTTTTTCTTACTTTAATGATTTAATATTGAGGCTTAAGCCTCAAAATGCCTCAAGGCTTATGCCTCGTCTCACAATAGGAAAACACCCGAATATTCGATTGCGCAGGTATTGCTAATTGTGCATCTTTCACTTACCAAGTTTGTTACCTTAAACAAATAATGTGAGAAGACTATAATTTGAATGAAAAAAGTGCTATCATACATTTACAAAAGACCACCAAAATTAAAATTGGTATTTCTAATAAGAAAATGTTTGATCTTAGGATGTTGAAAGGTGCCTTAGTACCAGAGCATATCAACATATTCAATCTAATCACAAGTAGTTGAGTTTAATTGATATCAACTTTGATGTAACATTTGTATTTTAAGCTCATTCTTATCATTTTTGTAGGGCTAAGGCATAACTATGAGGTCAATCAAGAATTCTTTTGGGTCTACAAAGCTAAATCTTAAAGTATATATATATATCGACTTAACCATAGGTGAGACTTTTAGTGGCAAGAGTCAGGAGAAGGTTCTTCTACCTTTTATTTGTTTTGGCAGTGTGAGAAGATCGGGTACATGAAAAAGTGATTGCATATAGAATAAAGATGTCAAAATTTGAATAAAAAAAATTCGATAAATGCTTCCATTGAAAATATTATGATGCATTAATCCTTTGATTGTCGTATGGAATTATGGATCTTGAGCTAAGGTGCATCTTTTCACTCGACTAAAGAATTTATGCCTATTTATTCCAAACAAAATTATGATAAAGTATATCTTGTCGATGATTAACCCTTAAGTATTTTGGGTGTTGCTGATGTTTAAATCAAAGTTGTCAACGAGACCACATAGATACTCATAACTTGAGTCATATTCCAAGTCTAAAGAGGAATCTTATTTTTATGCGGATAGCTTGATGAGAAATGGATATAAGCCAATCTTTAGTGCGGTAACTTGGAAGGCAATCATGGGTGCTATGATGATAGCACTTGGTAGTAGGAATGGTACACTATATAGATCAATTCAATCACCAAAATAATGGGTTCAAATATTGTTTCATATGCATGTTATTGAAATTTGGAATATTTGCTTTAAAAAAATAATGATTTACATTCAAAAGATTAGTTTCCAAATTTGAAGTATTTGGATTCTGATTTTTGTGATCATTGTATTTTTGGATAGTCAATAAAATTAATTTTTCAAAGACTGGTAGGGAACTCAATACACAAAAGCTTGAGTTTATACACATTAATATATGGAGATAAATGGACCCCAACATCATGCTTTAATGATTGACGTTATTACGTTAACTTCATTGATGAATCCATCAAAAATGCATGAGTTTATTTACTTAAAAATAAATATAATATGCTTTTATCTTTTAATAGATGAAAAAAATTCTATGAGGAATGATTTTGGTGCAAAGACAGCATTTAAGATCTGATATTGGATGAAAATATGATAATAAGGAGTTTAGAATTTATATAACTAGTGAAATACTTATGGAGAGATGATTCTATGAACACTACAACATAATGGGATTTTTGTGTGCATGAACATAATTATGAATGAAACAGCTAGAAGCATGAGGTTACATGTAGGATTTCTCAATACTTTTTCAGTGGACATTGTAAGCATTGCTGTTTATTTGACCAATAGATGTTCCTTAGTTCGTTTGTGCTATAAATTATCTGAAGAAGTTTAAAGATGCAAATGTTCTTATGTAACTATTTATTAGTCTTTCTTATGTGTAGAAGTGTGTATGTGGATTTTAGTAGCAAAGAGAATCTAGACGTCAAATTCAAATTTATATTGTTGTACTATTAGTTAATATTGTAGCAATATTCATTGATAATTATTAATTTCATCTTTACTAAATTACAAATCATTTAAGTATTCATAGCCTCTTTACTTCTGTAAAATTTTTCATTGTTTAACTTTTCATTTCACCTACTGAAATTATAGCATCTATAAATAGTAAATTCCAAGATAATTTGTTTTGATTATCTTTATTAAACACCCTATAACCAATATAAGGTGATTAAAATATTGACCTTATGTTGATCTTTGATATTATTATTATACTGGGATTAGAAGTTTGTTGATAACTCCATAATTATTTTTATGGCTATTCATTGGAAGCATGTTTTTTATTCATATTTTTCTTTTTAACGCCCATCAAGCAAGCTAAGTTTTATGGTACTCGACCATGTCTTTTTACAACTAAATAAATTACTTGGAAATTCTTACATCTCTCTTTATACTTCCATACGTGGTTAAAAAACCACCCTTCTAGCATATACTCTTTTGTCACAAATCAATTTGACTTTGTAATACTAACTTAATTTTTTTATCTAGATTATATTGCCCTCTTTATTATGACTCATATGTTGATTTCTCTCTAATCGCTACTCTTGGAGAAGACTTTTGTTCTTAAATTTTGGTATCATAACATCTCTTATTATTGGCATCTTTTCTTTACATGCTACACTAGAATCTTGCATGATATTCTAAATATCAATAGGTATCTCATTTGAACATAAAATCTTACTTTACGATCATCTTCATATTTAACTACACCCTTTTAATAACACTTTACACTATACTTTCATGGTTTTTTTTTCTCTTCTAAAGAAAATTTATTTCATGGATCTCTCATTTAATAATTCTCAAAATAACATTTTGATCTTCCTTTGATTTTTTTTAACTAAGATCTTATTATTTTCACTCTTATGTCATTTGCCTTGATCAAAGTTTCAGATGCCTTAGGTTATTTATATATCTATTGCTGTTTTTTTTTTAGTGTCTAGGTTACTATAGTCTATACAAATCATTAAAAGCTATAGCGCCAACTTTGCTAATTACTCTCTTTGTGAAACTTAGATCTTTCTCTTAGAGAGAGAGAGAGAGAGAGAGAGAGAGAGAGAGAAGAGGAGTAATGTGCAAGGGAACAAGTGAGGAGCAAAGAACCGTCTTCAAGCATGCGAAAAACATTTTCGGTGCCCTTGGGATGCTATAAAAGTAGGGTTTGGGAAACAAATAAACTTCATGCTTGCATGCATGTTCCAAATCCACTTGGGAAATGAAATCATTTGGTTACACATGTGCCTCAGATTTCTTCAAATTTATTGGATTTGGTTTTGTATTATTGAAATATGTTTTTTTCCGCTTAGATTACGCCAATCAACATGTTTTTATGAGAATGGACATAGTATTATCAATCCCATTGACATCTAGATGATCTGAAAGAATCTGATGTAATACGACCTTATTTAGTAGACACAGCTGAACCAGATTTAACAAATTTAGTAGGAGCCGAAACTCCAACTGAATACTGTGCTTTTGTTTTGGTTTTATTTGCCTTAGCTAAAATTATAACTTATTTACTACTGGACTCGCACGTGGCTTAATCATGTGTTATAACAACTTTTTATATTCCTTGAGGGAAAATGGTTAATGTTGGGTTGTTTTGCGTGAAATGAACCTTAAAACCGAGACTGGTTGGAAAAATCAGAGAGAGGACTGAGTGAAATTGATCTCGAGTAATTTTTAGAATTGCACTAAATTGGCCGGTTTAGTTAGGTCAGACTAGTCCTCTTAGGCTTCGTTTGGGACGGCTTTCTTACTGCTTCTTAAAACATCATTTTACTATCAAAATTAATGTTTTTCTACTAGAAAGCTGCTTTAAGAAGCAGAGAGAAAGCCATCCCAAACGAAGCCTTAGTCTTTTGCTAAACAGAAGTTATTCCCTAAATTTATGATCCATGATTTGGTAACCATGTTTGTGTTTGTGCCTATAATTTGTTTTTTTTTTCTAAGTATGGGTGATCTTTTACTCATTTTTTATGAAGCTTGTCCAAGGAGACATGGATCCACAATTTCAAGGTAGGTTATATCTCTAGCGGTTTATTGGCATTGTTGTAGGGGATTTTTTTTGGTTGATCCGGTTATTGCTTGTTGAAAATGTATCATTATAGAGGAAATCTTTTCATTCTGCAGCTCACCGCTTGGTTAAGTTGCCTCAACCCAAATGAAAACCTAATACTGGGCACCCTGACCGCAATGCTGGCAATAGTTAGGAAGTGTAGCTCTGTGGATCATCGTCTTGTTGTTTTCATTAATATGTTCACATGATTTATGTAGAGCATGAAAGACACATGCTTCAGCAGCCAATCATCTTCTACACTTAATGCCTTTTTTTAGTCCTTTAGTAATTGGCAGGACAACAGTAAATTCTTTATTAAAGCAAAGCTTCCTAATAATGGAGGAACAGTAGTAATACTCGGATTTTTTTTTGGACATTTAGATAAATTAAGGCAAACTCACACACACATCGCATACACAAATACTCGAACCCAAGACCTCTTAGTTGGTAGCCTAAGCTCTCAACCAACAGGCCAAAGTGAGCTATGTAATACTAAGATTAAAAGCAAATACACTAGAATGATGGAGCAATAAACCTTGAGGAAGTAGAAGAACGAGTTATGATGTTATCATCACCTAAAGCAATGCCGACTAATTATATTACGGGATTAGCACCCTTGAGCCCACCCCATTTGCGATATGAATAGCCATCCTTGGGACATAAAAAACCACCCTTGAGATATGAAAAGTCACCCTTGAGACATGAAAAGTCACACTTGGGACCCTCTACACCTTTAATTATCTACCATAAAAGGAAGTGATGAGTGGTGTATAAATAGGACTATTTTTTTAAGCTTAGTATGTGTTGATTGCTGTTTTTTAAGAGAGGAGTTGCTGTATTTTGGGTTCCTAGTTGGGCCTAGGTTTGGGAGAGCAAATCCACCTCTCTCATAGTGGATCAGTTGTATCTTGCCGTGTTCTTGCATCTATTTCTAATATTTATTTTGACAGTATAATTTCAGATTTCAGTTTACCTTACCCTTCATGTTGCAAGCCTGTAAAATGGTTTCAATGGTGCTGTAACTTGTATTTCAGACCTTGAGCCAGAATGACAAAACAATAATGTTCGAAGGGTTCTATCAGAGATTTTTAAAATGTTTGCTACATTCTGAGCGTTATTTAAACAAATTAGATAATTGTTGGGTTGATTTCTAGTCTTATTTAGCTACCATGGCGACTGTTATATGAATCTGATAACATTTTACCTAAGCAAAAAATTAGTTGTATGATGAATCTGATAACCAGTAGAAGATAAGACTAGAGAGAGTCGCCTTAAATGGTTTGGTCACATAAAACGGTGGCCTTTCGACGACACCGTTAGGAAAGTAGAGGTATTAGATTTGACTTATGCTAAGAAAGGTAGAGGCAGACCTAAAAAAACTTGGTTAGAAAATTTTAGAAATGATCTTTCTCTATTAGATTTAAACGAGAATTTGATTTTTAATAGGACACAATAGAGAAAAAAGGATTCATGTAGCCGATCCCATGTAGTGGGATAAAGGCTTGATGTTGTTGTTGTTGTTGTTGATGAATCTGTTAACATATCCCCCTATTATATAATTATTCTGTCAACCTACCTTTGACTACAAAGATGTTTTTTCTAAGCAAATTTGTTTTCCACCTTTTTTCATGAGCTGTAGCCCATCTAAAGTTATATGCAACTATTTTTACAGGTTTTTCAGGTTTGATGTGAAGTTCTGTGCCAACTTCTGCTTTGGACTTCCAGCTTTTCCATACAGTGTAATTGGTTTGTTTTCATAAAAGAAACCTTCTGTACTGGTCAGAAATGATATTAAACTTCTCTGCTTTCTTTTCATTTTGTTGCAAACCTCTTAGCCATATAGACGAAATATTTGTAATAAGTATTTTACTAATGCATTGGTCTTGTTGTTGTCACTGTCACTATTTGTATGTTTGTCTACTGGAGCTCCTATTTGGTTATTTCTGAGGTTCTTGGTAAAATAGTAACTTAACTGGGAAAGTTTTTGGTGCAGCTGCATGCTACTTAATTCTGCAATGAGTATGGAATTAAATTTTTCTGGAATTATTCAGATCTAATTAACTGATATTATGCAATCTATCTTGATCTGTTAGTTGGGAGCTTATACTATCAACTAAGAGGTTTTGAATTTGAAATTTGTATATGTGATGTGTGAGATTGTGTTTAATTTGCTCATAAAACCAAAAAAAGTTAATTTTTTTATTCAAGCTCTAATGAAGAAGAGCTTTAGATTATCATATCCTCTCGTTCAATGTAGGCAAAGAATTGAAATTATAATGAATGTGGTAAGTCTATGAGATGTGATTTAGAAACAGACATTTTATTGTCTTTAGATTACGGTTTCGTTTGGGACGATTTTTTTTTGCTTCTTAAAGCAGCTTCTTAGTATAAAAATTTAAGCTTTTGTATTAAGAAGCTATTTTGAGCAGTAAGAAAGTTGTTCCATACGAAACCTAAATATGTAAGATTTTTATTTACTTTAGAATAAGGATTTGGATGTGGTGGAAAGGCAAGTTACAGTATTTTTGTGGCTGCTTGGGCTACTTGATCAAGAAGCTGCTTAAAGGTTAAGAAGACCTTTGCATGGTCTTGGAAACTTTGTGGGGTGTTTGCTTGAGTTGTGAAGGAGAAGAGGAAATAGAGATCTTAGATGCTTCAAAGAAGAAAAATAAAGCAAGATAACAAATCCTTCATCTTATGTAAATATTGATAGTAAATAAATTAAAATTGAAAAAAGTTACAAAGTCTAAAGATATACAAATGAAATCATCCTCCTAAAATTTAAAGCAAAATTTATCAATCTTATGTAATTGTTTGTCAATGGTTATAAATTTATAAATAACCTAAGCTCATAAAAAATGAATGTTATAATGAACGCATTGTTTTCATTCACTCTCAAATGACCCCTCATTAGTAAAGATGTGATAGTGTCCTAACTAATGATTTTACCACCAAATGGCACCAATGTAAATAGTTATGATCAAGTAATTTTGCTATAAAATGGTGCCATTAAAGCTTGATCATGACCAAAGTCCATTAATATTTCATTTGTTAAAAGCCCTTAGAGTAATGATTCATGGGGTGCACTTGCTAAGGCATAAAATCTTCTGTTAGTAAAGGTTAACTTAAACTTGTATTCTTTGACAAATATCCACCTAAATCTACAAGATTTCCTTTGGTGAAGAAGCTCATGGTTGTTGACAAAGATCTTTCAATTAAGCTAGGTTGACTACATTTCTCTAAGTAGGCTAGGATCCATGATAACCAGATATGATTGAACCATGTGATCTTAATTGGATTCTTCTCTCTCCATCCGTTTTAAGTGTAAAGTGTTAAATTTCAAATCATACAATAAATTTTCTACTACTATATGCTAATCATTTAGCTTCTAATAACTAGTCTTAATTTGAAGTTCTCTCTTATCATTGGGAGGTGTAGTTAATTATTGGAGCTTATACATATAAGAAACATGAAACCTAACTATAAAATCCTCGTGAAATGTGGGCAAAATCTTCAACCAATATTGTGATATCTTCAACGTAATCTAACTTTTGAAAAATTGATATGGAATATCTTAAACACTTTCAGTAGAGCTAGGACATGAAGTTTGGGAGCTCACATAGGCTGAAATTTGAGATCTCTTAGATTTAGGTTTTCTTTGGGCTCTAGCGGCGTCTAGAGATTTGGGAGAGATCGATCCTCCTCTCGAATTGAGGATCAATTGTATCTTTGCTATTTCCTTGCAACTACTAGTAAAATACAAGTCTTTTCTCTGATTTTTCTGCAATTTTTCCCTGCTTTCCTACTGTTTTTGGCTGTTTTTCTGCTGTGGACAGCAATTTTACATTGGATCTACTTGGTTTTGGTGAGAAACACTTGGAAATCCAAGTGTTTCCTATCAGTAAGATTTTTATTTACTTTAGAATAAGGATTTGAATGTGGTGGAAAGGCAAGTTACAGTATTTTTGTGGCTGCTTGGGGTACCTGATCAAGAACCTACTTAAAGGTTAAGAAGACCTTTGCATGGTCTTGGAAACTTTGTGGGTTGTTTGCTTGAGTTGTGAAGAAGTGAAGGAGAAGAGGAAATAGAGATCTTAGATGCTTCAAAGAAGAAAAATAAAGCAAGATAACAAAGCCTTCATCTTATGTAAATATTGATAGTAAATAAATTAAAAATAAAAAAGGTTACAATGTTTAAAGATATACAAATGAAATCATCATCCTAAAATTTAAAGCAAAATTTATCAATCTTATGTAATTGTTTGTCAATGGCTATAAATTTATAAATAACCTAAGCTCATAAAAAATGATTGTTATATTGAACGTACTATTTTCATTCATTCTCAAATGATCCCTCATTAGTAAAGATGTGATAGTGTCCTAACAAATGATTTTACCACCAAATGGCACCAATGTAAATAGTTATGACCAAGTAATTTTGCCACAAAATGGTGCCATTAAAGCTTGATCATGACCAAGGTCCATTAATATTTCATTTGTTAAAAGTTCTTAGAGTAATGATTCATGGGGTGCACTTGATAAAACATAAAGTCTTCTGTTAGTAAATGTTGACTTAAACTTGTATTCTTAGACAAATATACACCTAGATCTACAAGTTTTCCTTTGGTGAAGAAGCTCATGGTTGTTGACAAAGATCTTTCAATCAAGCTAGGTTTACTACATTCTCTAAGTAGGCTAGGATCCATGATAACCAGATATGATTGAACCATGTGATCTTAATTGGATTCATCATTATTTTCTCTCCATCTGCTTTAAGTGTAAAGTGTTAAATTTCAAATCGTATAATAAATTTTCTACTACTATATGCTAATCATTTAGCTTCTAATAACTAGTCTTAATTTGAAGTTCTCTCTTATCATTGGGAGGTGTAGTTAATTATTGGAGCTTATACATAAAAGAAACATGAAACCTAACTATAAAATCCTCGTGAAATGTGGGAAAAATCTTCAACCAATATTGGGATATCTTCGACGTAATCTAACTTTTGAAAAATTGATATGGAATATCTTAAACACTTTCAGTAGAGCTGGGACATGAAATTTTGGAGCTCAAATATTCATGCCGTGTATCCAAGGTGTCATTGATAAGATATGAGCTATATCCATGAGAAGTACATCACACCAAATGTGATTAACATAGATGCCCAACTTAATAAGAAATAAGCATCTACTAGTTACTAGGTTGATATTACTAGGCATCAACCATTAATTTATATGTTTTTCTTTGAGCATGCATGCCAAAAATGTTTTACAATCTCCAACCCTTAAAGGTGGTGCTCAAGATTTTCTAAGTCCTCATCATAAGATGGTTTGTTATCATAAACTTTCTCTACATCCTTATTAGCTTGGTTTGCTACCTCATTTAAAAAAGATCTATATCCAAATTAATGTTGCAAATGCCTCCTATTAGGAAACTTTAAATAAATATTTTTCTTGGTGTTCTTATTGGTACCGTCAATGGCGAGTCTAATGTGTTCTTATTGATATCTTATGGGCTAATCATACATGAACCATTATTTCTAGGTCCTCAGCATAAACTAATGCTCTCCTTAATCTGTAATTGGTTGGAAGTTTTGGCTACTAATCAAGAGAACTAATGCTACTAAAAGTTTAAGGCTTTGTTCAAACAACTTTATTATTATTTTTTTCATATTACAACTAATATATATTTGACTATTATTTTTTGTTGCTTTCAAAAAAAATTTATGTTAGAAAAGAACATTCTACAATAGCTTTCAAAAAAATACTATTTTCTTCATAGTAAATTTAGAATCATCTTCATAAAAACCTATAATTATTACAAACATAGTTTAATTGTACTAATTACTTATCATTAAAAAAATTCCAAACAAAAGTTACAAAACCTAATCATAGTGCTGTATATATTTAATAGAGATTCTTTTTATCAACCCTTTTATTTATTTATTTTTAAAGTCAAATATAATTAATTTATTATTTATTTTATCACCATCCTCTCTACTAAATGCAAGTCGGTCTGGAATCTGCATCAGAGACAGAGAGAGAGAGAGAGAGAGAGAGAGAGAGAGAGACCCTTCAGATCCATATCAATACCCGTGAATTTTTCTACGATGAACTGCTCCTGTTCTTGATAATTTTCAATTTCATACCCTAAGCCCTCGCATTGTTCTCCTTTCCGTTTGCCATAAATCATGCCCAAACCCTGCCCGCTCACCGCTCTCCATTCCCTACAATTCCCAATGCAGCTCCCGTCCTTCTCCGGCAGCCCTGTTACTTCGCGCTCTTACTCGGCCATCCTCCGCTGCCCGCCGAGGCCTCTCATCTTCCTCACCGTCGTCGCTCTCTCCGTCACCTTCATCTACTTCTCCGCCACCCCAATCCTGTTCAATGAGCGCACCAAGAATCAATGGAACGGCACGGCTCCGGTCGTCATTCCCGCCGTCCACCCCCTCGAGACCGTCGATCTGGTGAGCTCCTCTCCTCATTATCTCTGCTTCCTTAAATTCCTCCGCCTACACGGCATGAAAGTGATCGAGCTAGGGTTTTCTCTTTCTTGTTTTTTTATTTTGTTTCTTTCCTTCTGCCTCGAGCAGGGAACGACGGATTCGCTTGCCTTTTTTCTGTAACTTGATCAAATTTTATTTAATTGTAAAATCACACCTAGGCTTCGATTTCACGAACTTATGGGAAGAGGCAAAGCTCCTTGGGCCGTGATTTTCTCGTCCTTGAGAGTTTCTTTTAATTGATTCTTAAAATTTTCAGTATTAATTAATTTGAATAATTGAATTAATCCATGTGCGGATGTTTATCCATGGATTTTTTTTTGTGCGTGGTACAACTGGATGCTTCGGGCGGGTTGCACGCCAGCGGATATAAACCTGTATTTAAAAAAAAAAAATTGAACTTTTTTTTTGGGAGAATTAAAAAAAAAAAAAATTGAACTTCAATCTCTTTATTATCTGTAACGTGGATCTGTTCTGATGTGCGCCACGTGGAATCGGCTGTTCTTGTCGGCCTCAGTTTTTTTTTTTTATTTTTCTTTCCACCATTCCACCATTAGCTCATTGCCACGTTTTCTGACCGGGGAGTTGTTAGTTCTGTTCGGTTGACTTCGGCTTCAGATTTAACCAGAAAAAATTATCCGTAGTAAATTTTGGTCAGCATTAATTTAAATTTGTTAGATTTACTTTGAAATTAATTTAATGTAAATTTTAATATATATATATTATTGATCTCAAAATAAATTCAATATTTTTAGACCTATTTTTGAAAATACAGTGTGCATGTCAATAAAAGGAGAAATTATTCAGTGCGGAGTTCGGACATTAAAGAATAGTCTGGATGTGAGTGTACACAGTATTTGTACACACTGTGCATAAAAAAATAAACTATATACAAAATTATACTCAGTGTCACATCCGAACGGTTTTTTACCATCCGGACTCCGAACGGAATAATTTCTCCCTCAAGGAATGCATGCTTCATATTTTCCATTTCTGAAAATTTTATTTCCCATGATATTGCTTTGAGCTCAAACCAGCTAATGTAATTATTAGTCTAAATAGAATTTATTGATGTGTATGACTGTACGCACATGTAATACCCATTAGGTCCTACATGATATGGTCCATGCACACTCCCAGCTACATGGGATGGATATAGTGATGGAATCAAAGGGCTGGTTGAGGAGAAATTATTATGTTCATACTAGGCAAATAACATTTATGTGTAGAGTATCGAAGCGCACATATCTGTACCTGTTGTGTACTTCAATTTCTTTTTTTTAAATACAAAGCTATGTACTTTTTGTACCCATTGCATGCTGCTTGTGATTGGAATATACAATGAGGAGATTGGGTCTGCGGCCGAATGATCGATGGAAGAAATTCCTCTCATCTCATCCGAGCTCGAATCCCCTAACCGTCCAAAAAATATATATATACAATGAGTATGAAACAAGTACAAAACTATGTACTATAGCCCGCATGTAGAGTTGCTTATGTATTTCTATGTGATAATTTTTGTGATTGAGGGAGGACCTAACTCCTCTAAAATTGGGATAATTTTTTTCATAGTTATGTATAGTATGTAGGCTTTATCCAATTTATTTATAATTGAATGTGCGGACTTATCTAGTGATGGAATAAATGGCTGATTGAGGAGAAATTATTATATCCATGACAGGTTACTTCTATGAGTACAGTACCGCATTACACAGCTATGTGCTTGTTGCGTACTTCAACTCTTTTTTGGAATATAAAGCCATACACTATTGCGTATCCACTGTGTACTTCATGTGATTAGAGTACACAAGTGTGTATTTCCATAGTCCGCATGTAGAACTACTTACATAGTTAATATTTAATTATTTTTCGTAATTGAGGGCAAAATAGCTCCTTTAAATTTGGTATAATTTTTTTATGGTTATGTATGGTATCTAGGCTTTGTCTAGTTTTTTTATAGTTGAATAAGGTGTAAAAGCTTTGTATCCTTTAACAGTCTAACCTCTTAGTTTATGAGGTGTTAAGTAGTGTTAAAAACTTATTTATGCTGAATTCTCTAGTTAATCCATATTTTTTCTAATTGATACTCTTGCCAGGGTAATGAGGAAGTGAGATTGACGCGGGTTCTAAAGGAGGCTGCCATGGAAGATAAAACAGTAATATTGACCACTTTGAATGCTGCATGGGCGTCAACAGACTCTATCTTTGATTTGTTCCTTGAGAGTTTCCAAATTGGCAATGACACTCGTTGGCTTCTTGACCACTTGGTGATTATTGCATTTGACAAAAAGGCATATATGCGATGTAAGGCTATGCACCCTCATTGCTTTGCCCTTGCAACCATGGGAGTTGATTTTTCTGGTGAAAAGCACTTTATGTCTGATGGATACTTGAAGATGATGTGGAGGAGGATCGATTTCTTAAGGATAGTTCTTGAAATGGGATACAACTTCATTTTTACAGTATGTTCTTCTTTTATTTCCTTTTTAATGTTTTCATTATTTTCTTGGTGTTAACAGAACTTGTAGAATATTGATCTGTCTAAATTCTAGCACATAGGGCTCTATTTTCTTCCCTCGTTAGATATTATAAATGTTGTGTTTGATGTTTTCTTTTTCTTTTTCATTCTTGGTAATAGGAGAATCTTTCTACTCTGATCTAATATGTAAATGGATGTTAGGACTACAATTTTCAAAACAAGTAGCCATTTTCTAACAAAATGATATAAACTACATTTAGTAGGTTCAATATAAAGAAGTAAAAATAGAAGCTAATCAGATAATATTATAAGATTGTTAGATCCAACTATTATATAATTGTGATGGCATTATAAAATTGATAAATTTTCTTCATTATCCCCCTCTCCCTTCCTAAAAAATACAGAGTAAAATAGCAACACATTTAAAACAATAGTTGGTCATAGGTGGCCAACGGTAAGTGTGGTGGTGGTTAGTGGTGGCAGTGGCGACTATGGCTGACAATGAGGGGTAGCCAACGATGGTCGTCAATGACTGATGGTGTTCAATGGCAAGTGGAAAATGCCTCCATTGGTCAACGATAGGCAACATCAGACAATGGAAATTATGTTTCAAAAAATAAGAGGAAATTTAGAGGGAGAATGTGTGTGTGTGTTAAAGAGAGGGAGAGATGGAGGGATAAGGAATGCGTGGTGGGTGGTTTTTTTATCTTTTTAAGAGTAATCAAATAATATAAATTGTTTACGATTTTTTTCACCTATAGTGATTCCAAAAACTTCAAAAAGATAGGTTTCTAAATTTTCTTTTTTGAATTGGCATGTTCCGACCGATTTCATCGTGATTTGTTGCCTTAATGTGAATGCTCGCTATGAGCTTTCCGAAGATGATTTCGGTTGTCTGTCGACAACTACATGTGCGTGCTTTACATGTCTCATGCAAGGACGATGAAATGGAAGAAATATGTGAAAGACTTCGTGGGTATCATTTCTAACTTTGCCTTTTTTTGGGTTGTTTAACGCCCAAGGAAAGTAGGATTGACATGATTTTATACTCATTAGAATGTCTCAATGAGATACTCATTTTGATTATGTTTGGACGAACATTGGAGTCCATTCAACCCTTCAAATAATTTTTTATGTTTTTAATTATACTTTTAAATGTGCTTTTTGAGACCGTTTAAACATGAATTTGTATAATTTTCATATTGGTAGAATTGCCTCGTCTATAAACTTGTTCACATAGGAGTTCGAATGGTCTTGAACTTCATTTCTAAGAAATATAATTTTATAATTTGACTTTTTTAACCGAAAATTGTATTGTGTGAAAATTTATGTACAATCTCTTTAAATTTCAGAGGCCATATCAAATATGAAGTACTTAAAAATGGATTGTTTTGCTTTCTTGATATCCGCCATCAATCCGAGAGCTATTTCATGAAGAATTTCCTTGCAAATGCTAATTAGGCTCTTTGAATATTTCTGATTTGTGTTTTTTTAACTCTTTCCAGGATGCAGATGTTATGTGGTTCCGAAATCCATTTCCACAATTCTTTCCAGATGGGGACTTTCAAATTGCTTGTGACAGATTTTTTGGAAATCATCTTAATCGGAATAACACGGCTAATGGAGGATTTAACTTCGTAAAATCTAACAATCGTACGATTGAATTTTACAAGTTCTGGTACTCATCTCGAGACAAACATCCAGGACATCATGATCAAGATGTACTTAATAGCATCAAATTTGATCCATTTATTGATGAAATAGGATTGAAGATGAGGTTCTTGAGCACTGCCTTTTTTGGTGGACTATGTGAACCTAGCAGAAATTTTAGCGTCGTTTGTACAATGCATGCAAATTGTTGTGTTGGTCTCAACAGAAAGTTCAATGATTTAAGACTCATGCTTGAGGATTGGAGAAGATATATGGCACTGCCACCTGCTTTGAAAAATTCTAGGCTGCCATTCTGGAGGGTACCACAAAACTGCAGGTAAGATTAGTTAAATTGCTATTTCAAAAGTAATAATAAAAAAAAAATTTAAAAAAAAACTGCGATTTCAAAAGTCTAATGAGAGATATCGTCAGCTGATTTTTTTAATGCTGAAATGTATTGGTTTAAACTTTCAGGTTATGCCGTTTAAAAGAAAATTATGCCTACTTGTTTTGTATATTTCAAGTGCACGATACTTTTAATTTTGAAGATATCTTTCATAACAATGTTGAACCTCAAACTATTTTGATGATTGCAGATATATACTTATGCAAATATATGTGTTAAGTGATGAACTTTTTCGCTATAAGCAAATCACCATTGTTCTCTCATTTATATTAGGATCTTTAATTATAAAATTAAAATTGTTGCGTCCTGAAGTATTCGCGGCGATCTTGGTGTCGTCGGGTTCGTATTTCCGAGACGCTCAGTTTGACTGTAAGCTCGCTGAAATCGGAGTTCGGGTGCTCCCAAAATTAATTTTGAAGTTTCCAACTAGCTTTTGCCTCGAGATTCGTGCCCGATCAAGATAATTTTTTGACGATGTATCAAAAATCATGCATTCTCTTAAGATCATTAAACTTAGGGATTTAACATGATTTCAAAAACTTTTAAGACTAGTTAATAAGAAATACATACATATGACGTGTGTCGATACTATATAAGACATCAGTTAAATTATTTTGATTTTATCGTGTAGCCCTTTTGAGCCTTAAAAAAGTTGTCTCTCAAGTTTAAGAGAAAATAACTTATGGCGAAGATCTATAATTTTGTAGGTGGCAAAGTAAACAGTGACAACTCTACTATTGAATTTCATCCTTTTCTAAGGATTTTGTATCCTATTTTGAAGATTTCCTACGGACACACATTATTCTAGTTAATTATTTCTTTCATTATAGAGAGAACTCTCGATTAAGGCTATAAGTTACTAAGTTCTCTAATAAGCTGATGTTGTAATGAGTTTTTTTGGTGCGGAGAAGTAGATATTGGTCTTGTGTTTAGAGAGTTTTGGCTTGGGGATGATAACATGATCAAAATCCTATGATTTTATCTTCCCACGCAATTATGAATCTTAATCTATTTAGTCAATGGAGGTAATCAATCCAACATAACTAAAATATCTTGGCAATTATGGATTGCTTTGTCGAAGGAGGTCTTCCTAGACTGGGTTTGAAAACTAATTGAGTTGTCGATTATAGACCAACCAAAACTTACACAGGACTTTGTATCCTGTTGAATGAATCAAGTCGAACCAAAAGCTCATATGCATGCCATTGGTGAGATATGATTTCAAAGGCAAAGCATCATAAATTTGACATCAATAACAATCTTTCTCAATTATAGGGTGGTGGGCAAGCGATTCAAACTTTGAGCTAGCTTTATTGGGTTAAATTTAGCTCCAAATTTTCTCAACATAAAAATTAGGATCATGAATCATTTCAAAAGTTAATTGCAAGATAGCACAAAGTTTAGGTATGTTTGGCTAATATGACACCCACTATTTGGGTTAATACACTTTTTAAGGCATCCCAAGTATTCTTAGGAATTCCTTTTTGAATTTTCCCCCAAAGATTTCTACACGCCCCTCCTAAAACTGATCACTTGATTAATTTCACTGTCTGAAGTCTATTAGATTGCCAAAATTTATACTCTAAAAAGTTTTTTTTTTTTAATATGTTGATAAAAATAGCTGTAGTGCCTTTAGTCATCCTGATCGACACTTTCAAATTATGCCACATAATTTATTTGAGCCTCTCTGTAGTTTCTCTCCTCTTGATGTTTTGGTTGATCAGCCAGTTTCAAACCGATCATTCAAAATGATTACAAGGACTGTGAAAGTTTTCAGCCTATCTTGTGGTTTGATTAGTTCGACATATACAAACCTCCTTAAAACTCCCTCTAATGCAACTTTTTATTCAAAAAATAAAATAGTGAACGTAAAATTATGATTTTCTAAACTTTTTTTCAAACTCTACGAGTCACCAAATGAGCTCTAAACGCCTTCGGAATTTTGACCACGCAACAACTTGATTTGCTGGATGAATTCAACCAAACTGTGATGTCTATGAACAGTTTCTATAAATTTTCTGCTCCAAGCCTGTAAACTCTTATTGTCTTCTTGTGGATAGGACCGACAACAAACTAAAGGATATTCGACGGGTAACTTCTATTGGCTCATTCCAAACCTTGATCAACGAAATTGAAAACCTCAAACTTTGATTCATTTTCACTTGTTCTTTCATAAAATGTTGACAATGTAAGGGTAAACCACTACTATCAGTCATCATCATCATCATTAGCTAATCTAAACTATTTGAGGTCAACTTTATAAATCATCTATTTTCATTTATTCATGATCTGTATTCTTTGAAGTTTTAAAACTATTCTTAACAAATCATTTGAAGAATTACTGAAAGCTCTCATAGTTTAGGCAAATTTTGGTAAACTGGAAATTAAAATCTATGCTGAATCACCCCTTGTGGAATCCTTAAAGTGAAGTTGAAAATGAGTTCCTCCTAAAATTACCGCTTAAATCTTTTCTTTCCCCACTCTAAATACCTTATCAAACAGTAAGCAATAAACAGCTAACTTAAAAAAAATTTTAGCTATCACTCTTGCAGAAGTTCCTGCACTAATCAGATTTTGGTTGCCTTCTTTAACCCTTCCCTGCAATCTTTGGGGAAATCATCTTGGGCACATTCTCTTTGATTTATTGTTAAAATTTTGTAGTTTATTTCAAGATTTTTTTATATCTTAATAGAGTTTTAAGTGTGGCTATTTAGTATGTGTGGTGCTTCTCATATTATTTATTCTCTTTGAATTAATTTTCTTGCTAGTTATTGTAGCACTCTCTCCACATCTTTAACAAAAGTAGAGATTAATCATTAATTTCGAAAGGATAAAGGATCTCTCATAGGAGCCATTTGTAGCGACTACAGTGTAAAATTACTCTAAGAAAAATAGATTTTTAGAAATTGTGAGTATTATAGACTTTTCTTTTAATTCAGACAATAAACTTTTTCTGATAACTTAGATATTTTAGTAGATCTAGTTGTAAAATGTTACATCTTACTACAAAATTTCTAAAAAAGTAAGAACTATAGCCAAACAAATGTTTGTTTGGAAAGCGAGATTGCAAAAAAATTCCCCCAAAAGAACCTTTAATATGGCATGTGTGTGATAGAAAAGTACCCCTCCAACTTCAAGGAAAATTTTTATAAGATGATGGTGAGACCTACAATGTAACGCATAATGTTAGTCATTAAAAGAGAAGTATAAATTTAAGTGTTGTAAGGATGAGGATTCTTAGGTGATTGAGTGGCTTTACACTTAGAGACATAATGAGAAATGAGTATATACGTGAAAAGAATGAAGTAGCTCCAATGCCAGTTAAGATTATAAAGAATCACCTTAGATGGCTTGGTCATATAATATATCGGTCTTTTGATGACCCTATTAGGAGAGTAGATGAATTAAATTCATCCTATGTTAAGAAAGAGGTAAATCTAAAACTACTTGGTTATAAAGCATTAAAAATGAACTTTTTTTATTAGATTTAAATGAAAACTTGACTGTTAATAGAACATAATGAAGAAATAATTCATGTAGCTGACCTCATCTAGTGGAATAAGTACTCTAATGTAGTCAAAGACTAGTGGTGAGTCTCCAATGAAGAGTTTGTGGAGTGAATGTAGGTTTGGTTCAGATACTTGAGAAGCTTAATCATCAAATCCTCATATCCTTTGGATTCTTATCTCTGCTCTTTCTTATTTTTCATTCTTTCAATTATTTTTAATATTTATTAATCTTCTCTTACTCATCTTTTTAGGCGAATCAGCATTTGCATTAAATCTTTTTTTTTTTTTTGAAAAACATAATTCATAATGCATTTGAAAGTGGCTCAAATCATTTAATTTTGATGTCATTCCCAATCATTCTTATCATTTCCAACTTCACTCTAATATAGCGTGCTCATTTTTTTACAGTCTAGCTCCGCTGCAGCACCACATGACGGGATTTAAGGGCAGAATCGATGGCGCGCAGCTTACACCGTACAAACTAAAGGTTTGTTCTGCTCGTCCATTTTTTAAGAAAAGAAAAACTGTAATTTTCTAAAATCAACTGTTAACTTTTTTCACTGAGATTATCATTGTTCCAGAAAATTTCTTGTGAATGGGATCTTGCATTTCTCCTTATTTAAAAAGCTCGATTTGAATCCTTCTCATGAAGGTCTTATTCATACAATATGCTCTTATGTTACAATAAGCTTGTTATTAAACTTTGGCTTTGTTTGGGACGGCTTTTTTACTGCTTTGTAAAGTTATATTTTAGTACAAATTCTCTTAAAAGTAGGAAAAAAATAGTGTTATAAAGCAGTCCCAAACGAAATCTTTAGCTTATCAATTCTATTTATATGCGTTCTTATATAAATATCTAACTTTTGTTGGAACTTTATGTTAATCTTGTTTATATCATGACCATATGCCATTTTCAATCACTACTGCAGGTGCTCAATACTTCCAATTTCAACGCAAACTAGGCCACAGGTATACCTACAAACTGTCCCATAAGGCAGAAGAGAGAGAGAGGTGCATCAGAACTGCAATTGAACATACAAATCCAACCATTTATGAAGTGCTGCTGATATTGCATTTATTTATGCCCAACCAAAATAACTGGGTCAGTGTTGGGCTTCAGTCTAATGGTATTGTCCCTTACCTCTAAGGTTTCGTTTGGGATAGCTTTCGTACTGCTTTTCAAAACAATTTTCTAGTATAAAAATTTTAAATTCAAGAAATTTTTGTACTAGAAAGTTATTTTAGAAAACAGGAAGAAAGTTGTCCCAAACAAAACCTAAAGGTGATGTGTGGGGTTCAAACCTTTAAAATAAAAATAAAAATATAATTAAATGGGGGATTTACATACATACCACATAATTCCTATTTATTTATATATATAACGCCTAAATTTTACTGTTTATTTATATAATACTCAAATCATTAAATCACTTCAAAAATGATATATCCATATTTACATGCATATGCTTCGAAGTGATTGAGACATTAAAGTGTTAGATAAATAAATATCAAAATTTTGGTGTTAGATATGAAAGTACTTATGATATGTTATGTATATAAATCCCTCGTAAATAAAATAAAATAAACTTTTGGTTCATCTTTTCTATGTTTATCAGTGACACTAATGAAGAGTTTATTTTCATTATCGCCTTGGTGGCAAGTTTGAGTGTTACATTTTATTTGTGATACATTTTTGTATTAAATGGTTCAATTAAATGACAAAATTATCATTAGCTTTCTATCTCCTCCGAAGCAAATAGAGGAGCCTTTTCCTTTGTAATAATAGAATAGGGGAAAATTATTGGGTTTGGGCATCGGACGTCGTCCGGATCCAATTAAAATGTGCCACATCACCCTCTCCTCGGTACTGAGCAATATCGAGTTCAGTATTCTCGGTACTGTGAAGTACCGAACTCAGTACTTCACAATACCAAACTCAGTACCGTTCGATACTGTGTAGCTGTGTCTGGTGTTCGAACCCAATAATCTCCCTAGAATAGGAGGTTCTATTAGCTTATTTAGTTGATAACTTAGATTGTTTTCTTATGATAAATGATAAATGGTAAAGCAAGTAATTTGAACCAATATTCTTCTAGCTTATTTAGTTCATGTCATTATTTATTAATGTCATCAATAAGAAGGCAATGTTCTTTTTAAACTTCAATATGTTTGTGTTAGTTGGTAGAACAAACATATTGTTTTATAAACGTTTTAAAATCTTTATAATTTTGACTTGTTGGGATAAAATATTTATGTTCTATTTTTAGGTTGTAATCGTGTTAGGGTTGTACGCAAGTTGAGCCGAACTCGAGTTACTCCTAGCTTGAGCTTGATTAATTAATCAAGTTGAAGCTCGAGCTTAATTTTACAAGTTTAAGTTAGTTGACGAGCCGGCTAGTTTATAAGCAAAAGATAAAAAAAAAAATTATGATTTAAATAATTATTATAACAAAATTATTAAAATAATGAGAAAATTAAAGATAAATAATAAATAATTATTTGATATAACAAAATGAGATATAATTTTTAAATATTTTAAATTGTTTTATGTTTGAACTCTTGAATTCAAATATATTTTAAATGTACTTAATAATAATATTTTAAGTGTATTTGATAGTACTATATAAATTTTAAATAATCTATATAGTCATGCAAGTAGTAACTAAATGAATTATTTATTGCAGCTAGATTACTGAGCATTAAAATGGATATAATATTCCTTAAGAATATTTTGAATTAGTTTGTATGTTTTACTAAGGCAATCAATCCACCAAAAGTCTACTATTTTTTAAAATTTTTTATTTATGTCTTTTAGCTTTTTTGAAAAACTTAAAATACTTTTTTTTTTAAGTTCTCCATTTTTCTTAAATGAAAATGGCTCTCTCCAGTGTCGGCAACTAGTGAGTAGATGTGACCACTGTCAATGCCTGCCGTTCTCTTCTTTTGCTATATTCAATATTTCCAAAAAAAAAAGCTATATTTTTTTTTTTTTTGGGAAAATTTTGGGCTTTGCCCGTATATTAAGCTCAACAAAATTACAACATAAGGAGGTAAAAACAGCAAAATGAGCCAACAAAATACCGGCCAAAGCTTAAAAAAGCTTCAAAAAAAAAGAAAAAAAAAAGCAGATCAGTACCAACAACACTTAAGATATCATACAAATGAAACCAAGAACCAAAATACCAAAAACAGGCTCCCAAGCCCAGCAACCTGGACTCAGAAATATCATCAAAAGTTTGCAACATTCACTTCCCTGGTTGCCCAAAGACCATCCTAGGGATCTGCATAGGGAGCTTCATCATTGTCCAGGCTAGGCAATTCAGCAGATTCTCGAAGGGATAGTGCTCATACATTGATCCAGCCACCAAATAGAGACGGGATAACAGATACCCGAACATGAACATATCCAGCCACCTTATAAATTTTCCAGCAGCACCAATGAATTTCCCCATTTAATAACCTTCTCAAATAAAATTCTTTTGATACTTAACAATAGAGAAGAAGAGCATAGAAATTTATTCCCAAATCTCCTATTGTTCCTCTCTTTCCAGATATAGTAAATCACACAGCATACTACTAATTTATAGAAGTTAATCACCTCAATTTTACCGTTTTTGTAACCTTCAACCAATCGAAAACCTGCAGGATGTTAGGCAGAAGGAGAAAGCTTTGCATACTAGGTATAAGAGCATTTAGTATATAGAAAGAGTAGGGGCATTAAAAAAAATGAGAAATTGATTCATCATGCTCATTGCATAAGATGCAAGTAACAGGAACCTGGATGTTCCTAAGAAGAAGAGCATCAACAGTTTTAAGACCCCCACATAAAGCTAGCCAAGCAAAAATTGAGTGTTTAAGAACATGCCTTTTATGCCACACTATTTTATACCAATTGCAATATGGAATCTCCGAATAAAACTCCTCTAAAAACTTTTTAAAATTATAAATTTTACTGTTTTTCCAAAACAGACAAGGGACAGCACATCCAATCTCCATGATGTTCTCAAAGACTCCCCGACAGGTGAGGAAAGTTCTCAGGCAGCACCCAGTTACTCCCAGAAATGAGATCCTCAGCACAAAATCGGGTAGAGGTTCAAGAAAAGCACCCCCAACATAATCATGTAAAGTGCCATTTTTATACCAGTGATCCCAGATCATAGAAATAGGGGCATTTTGTGTGATTTTAAAATTAAAACAGGATTTAGCCATCTAAGTAGTGTCACAAATAGCTTTCCAAAATTTAGAGGCAAAAGCAAGGGGAGGCTTCCATGGGGAAGTATATTTCTTGAAGAGCAAAGCAAATAAAGGAGAAGAGCAGTTATACATCCTGATAATGACTGAACAATTAAAAGCAAATTGCAAAGCAGAGATAGAAGAGATGCCCAATCCACCTTTACATTTAGGCAAGCAAATTTTATCCCAGAATACCATGTGCAACTTCTTAGCGGAATTGACGTCCCCAAAGAATAAAAATCTAGAACTGATTTTTTTGTTAAATTTATGCATTGATTTAGGCAATATAGCACCATGAATCCAATACGCAATGGTATTTTGAATAGTGAATTTTAGGTATTGTAATATACCTGCAAAAGACAACAGATTGGCCATCCACTCATTTAACTTTTTATAGATACTATCCATAAGGGGCATGTAGTCTTCAATTTTGAGCTTGTAAAAGGATAGAGGGATTCTCAAATATGTAATATTGGTAGCTATATTATGGATGGAGAGGGCTTGGCATATTTCAAGTTGGTTGCTCTTGTGCTTTGGAAACATAATGACACTTTTATCATAATTGACATGGAGCCTCGCGGCATTAGCAAAATCCCTTAAAATGGAAACTAACTTTTTACAGTTTTCTAAAGTGGCCTCCCAAAAAATGAGCACATCGTCAGCATAAAGCAAATGAGTGAGAGTGAAGTTGTCATAAGAAATACCTTTAAAGTATCTACCCTCAAGAAGATTGGAAAAAGCATCCATAACTATACAGAATATATAGGGGCTTAAAGGGTATCCCTGCCTGAGCCCAGCCGTGGTGGGAAAATAACTCTCCAGAGCACCATTTAGAGCAGTAGAAAAATTAACATCAGAAATACAGGCCTCCAACTAACAAAAATACTAGGAAAACCTTTTTGGGTAAGCCTAGCAAGCAAGAATTCACGGGAGACAGAGTCAAAATCCTTCCTGATGTCTAATTTTTCACAAAATATTTTTTCACCTCCTCTTTTACCACCCCAAGAAAGGATATCATTAGCAAGCAAAATATTGTCCGTGGAGATTCTTGATTTAACAAACCATGCTTGGTTATCCTTGATAATCAAGTTCATAGCCGGTTTAAGTCTTGCAGCAATCACCTTTGCAATGATTTTGTACAAAACATTGCATAGAGTAATAGGTCTATAATCAGAAATAGTGGCAGTGTTTTTGTGTTTGGGAATAATAGCAAAAGCAGTTGCTTTAACCCCATTTGGCATGTACCCCTTAAGAAAAAAAGATTTGATAGCTCTACAAACCACAGGGCCAATAATGTGCCATCCAATAAAATAAAAGTGAAAATTGAAACCATCCGGCCCCGAGGCTAAGTTAGAAGACCCCATAAAAACAGCTGCCTTAATGTCATCATCCAGCACATTATAGGCAATAGCGTTGACATAGCTATCTGGTAAGGCAGTCCCAATGGGAAAAATCCCCATAGCCAAATTGGGAGGAGCAAGGTTATAGAGTTCTTGAAAAACTGAGTAATAGAAGAAACCACATCAGCTCTAGAAGCAGAAGGATTACAGGTAAGTAAATTTACTACCGATTTGGAGCAGCCCTTCCTACTCCGTATTTTTGCATAGAGGAATTTGATATCATCTTCCCCATATTTAAACCAATTAACCTTAGTCCTCTGAATGATCCAAGAAGCTTGTATGTTTGTGAAGTTGGCTAAATCTGCATTACATAACTTGAAGGAAAGGTTTATATCAGAATTACTGGGGTCTTCATGCAACTTATCCAACAAAATCCTTTGATTATTATGCAAATAATCAAGATACCTAGTTATACAATTAGAGGATGCCCTTATTTCTTTTTTGATGCAAGATTTTAAATGCCTTAATGAATTGCAGAGGTGAGATAGATGGTTGCCATTGCTAGGCATAGTGAAGACCTCTCAAAGAAGGGCCCATTAATTATCAATTTT